TAGCATGTTAGCAAGGGCTATTAACTCAGCTGTAGTTGTAGTTTTAAATTAGGGCTAGACAGAGGTGGGGCTATGATATTAGTAAAAATAGGAAATATAATTGAGAGGAAAACATATACAACAGGCATAAAACATAAACATATTAAAAAATATTTGATTAATTGTTACTATTGTAATGCTAGGGGTGTTAGAAATAAAATTGATGAAATCAAAGCAGTTGTGGAAACTGAGGATTTTGATACTATGGGTATCACTGAGACTTGATTGGATTTGAACAATTTTGATGAAAGAAATTTTTTGAAACACCAGGCTACAGATTATTTACTAGAGATAGAGTATTGAAAAAAGGGGGAGGATTAGCTTTATATGTGAGGAGTGAATTGCATCCTGTTGAGTTAGAAAATATTAAAGAAAATAGCACTGAGGTTGAGTCAATTTGGGTTAGAGTTAGTGGATATAAATGGAAAAGTTTTTAATTGGGATTTGTTATAGACCACCAGGTCAGAATGTAGAAATTAATGAGAAATTATATAATGAATTCAGAATGGTAGCTTCAAAAGATGTTATTATTATGGGTGATTTTAATTTCAGGGGTTTGATTGGTAAAATTTTGAGTCTCACAGTAATGTGGATAGGTTTTTGGAAATTGTTCAAGATACTTTTATACACCAACTGGTGATGGAACCTACAAGAGAGGAAGCTATATTAGATTTAATATTAGCATCTAATGTGAATGTGATGGACAGAGTAGTGGTTGGTGAGCATTTAAGTACAAATGACCACTGTACTATTAAGTTTGGGATTTTACTACATGTAGAATTGAAGAAGAATAGTATTTTAAACCTTTACTAAACCATACTGGCTTATTCTGCTCCATTGTCCTTTTTTTTTCTGTAGGGAATATGTATGTTCTGTATGCACATCAATTTTCCCTAAATACTTCCCACATCTGTTCAAGATCTCCCCTCTCCCAACTATTTAGCCCATTCTACAGAAGCCAGATCATGTCTAATTCCATCAAATTGGCTTTCCTGAAATTTGGAATCAGGCATAACATACCTAACATAACATATCATAACTTTCTCAGCCAACCCTCTTTCATACACAGTGTTTGCCTTTTTAACTACCTTTTTAACCAGCTCTCTTGATTTCCTATAGTCCTCCAAGTCCTTATTATTTCCAGTAAGTTTAAATTTATTATGTTTATCTCTAATATGATCTCTTAAAGTAATTGGGCCTCTTAAAAATGATAGTGGGGAGCTGATCTCGGAAGATTATGAGATGGTAAATGTATTAAATTATATGTTCTCTTCAGTTTTTATGAAAGAAGATTCAAGTATTATGTCTCAACCAGAGCACTTAATGTATGGGAAAAATATTGATGTAAAAGATATCATTTTAAGTTCTGAAAATGTAAGAGAAAAGTTGGGAAACCTCAAAATTGTTAAATCTCCTGGACCAGACAACTTTTAAAGACAACATAACAATATATTTGAGAGACAAATGCTTAAACTTACTGGACATGCCTGATTTCATTTACCACAGTGTATGCCATGTTCTTCTCAATAACATAGAGAAATAATTTCAGAAATTAAAATGTCCTACTCATTAACACGGACAGGTAATTCCAGAAATGAAAATGATTGAACAATGTAAGAGCAATTAATAAGTACAACTGGCTTAAGGACTAGTTATATGAATGGTCTAAGCATGGTGAACAGAAAGTGTGATGAAACCGATTTCATCACTCATGTCAGATTGTGCTAACTCTATAACGTGGGAATAATCGATTTGTTGAACATACTCAATTAATGAGCCCAATGATTAATCAATTAGCAAACAGCATGAATCACCCAGCTCCACCCATGATAAAGATAACTACAAGTTCACTTATAGTATATGAAGTTAGTTGTCAGTTCTACTGGTAGTCATATGAACTCTTGAGGTAATGATCTCTATAGTATTTCATTAAGAATGATGACCACCCTCGTGGTAGCACTAGTCATTCTGGGTACAGTAGTCAAACACTTTTAAGACAAATAAATATATCACAAAATTCTTACATCTCATAAAGTGGTCTAAGAAAAATATATCAACATTACAACTCTTGTCCTGCGGTAAGAAAGAAATGAGTAAAAATTGAAAATATGAGCTCTCAGGGTGGCAAAATGGCAGGCATTAACCTGTACTAAAATAATAGTTCGTGTATGCTAGTAATGTATACTAAGATTATTTGAACATACCTGTACACAAGACACAAAATATTCCAAAATAACAACTTAAAGTTATGGAACAATATTGAAACCTATGTTACTGTCAGGATTGAGAAAGAACTATAAAAAGAAATGAAAACTGAAAATATGCTACAGACAATAGGAAACCTAATATATGAATAATTGTACATTAAATGACTTGTTAACAGCATTTACAATAAGTTTGCATGTTGGATATACCACTGAATACATACAACTATAGTGTGCAGAACACAGTCATGGGTGACAAAAAGAACTGCATAAACCACGCATAAGACATAACTAACTTATATTATTCACCACAGACCTCATAATCTTTGTAGCTACTACTATTAGTAGTACTATGATATTGAGCTATACATTTAAAAAATAAAGATATAGTAATCACACAAATGTGATTAATAAGAAACACACCATTTCTTACTTTAACAAATATTGGAGAATATTATGTTATGTTTTGAGTTCAAGTTCATATATATGTTCAGTGGAGGAATGAGAAAAGCTCTTAATGGTTCTGTTGACAGTAATACATTACTTTCTCAGAATACATACAGACCGAACTGTGGGCAGGAAATTAACTGTGTGAATCTCCCCTTTGGACTGTGAACTAATTCTGACAGGTGAAGTGCATAAATTATTTGTTTTCAGTGCAAGTTAATTTCAGAAACTGACAGTTTTCATGTGAAGATTGTGCTTGTTCATACAGCGACATGTTTTAAATGCCACACTTTGGATAACTCTTACATTAAAGATTTAAGTAATGCAATATTTATAAAATCTGTAATAGGAGATCAATAGAATTAGTCTTGTCTATAAACTGAGCTGAGATAGAAAATCTTCAAACCTATCCCTCTAGTATAAGCAAGTGTCCAATGAGACACTTAAATACATATTTTTAGTCTTTTGTTTTTATTAAAGACCATTTATTCTGTTTGTACATTTGTGTTCATTCTTTCTTTACTTCTCACAATTCCAGTTAGTCAGAAGATATAAATTTATTTTGCAGTTTATCTCCCATTATTTACTGGTGTTGTCTTACACAACAATTTTTTATATAGTCTTCCACAATGCATACACAGTCATTGTTTAACTAGCCTGAAAACATATAAAACAGTACATGACTATCAATAGTACATATAATCCACTTAAGTTAGAAATACTTGGTTGATCCTAAACAGTTTCCCAGCATCTCAAGAAAAGTTCTCAGGATACACAAAATTTCCCAGTTTTATGATAAAGACATCAAACTGTCAGTCACATCAAATCACAAATGTAATAGGCCTACTTGACTTAAACATTGTTGTAACTGTTTGACCTTTCTGCCACCAAACTCTTTCAAAAATTTCATCTGTACATGGTCAGAAACCCAGGTTTACATAGGTGTAAATTTGGAGAAAGTCAAGGCAGTGCTCATTGTCAAAACACACTTTACACAATCATATACCAAATTTTATAACTACTTAACGGGGGAAAAAAACAGAACTTTCACATCCCATTCATTCTTCACAAAACTATGTCTAAAAAGTTTCAAAACGATGCTACAAACTTAAAAGTTGTATGTTTGAAAATGTTAAAGATTATTAAATAAATTTAAGTATGAAGTAGTAGGAAGAAATGTTTTTGGAACTGTTCAAGATGGCTATCTTCACCAATTGGTCAAGGAACCTACTAAAAACGAAAGATTTCTTGGGTGTATAATTTGAATTTTTGCTCATTTGTTTTGTTTATATCACCATAAAAGTAGTTGAAATTAATTCAAAAACAATATCATTGTTACTGTTAGTATATTTGGGAAGTATTGAGGAACACTTCAATAAATTTAAAGTAAATTATACAAATGTTAAATTATTTCACATCTGTAATAACCATCTTGAAACTAGGGGCAAGGGCTGGGCTGTCCCGGGTTTTCGATTTGGAAATCGAGTAGTAGTAATAAAAGTTCGCAATAGCTCTTACACATGTTCCTCCAAGGCGATCACTTTCCACTAGTCCAACTTGGATCCCAAACTCTGCGGCTCTTCTCGCACTCGCAATACCGCCAGAACCACCACCAATTACAAGATAATCAAATTTTTTTGAAGGCATTGTAACAAATGTGTTAATGCACGTGGCAAATTTTCGACATATATTCTGCAAACGCATAAGACCTAATTTTTATTACGTAGATACCGTAAAATTAAAATACCAGCGAATAAACCTCTACCTTTATTGACACTTAAAGTTAAACGATTCTCTAATCAGTAAATCGAAGCAACTCAAGTTTGGTTACTAGTTCTATTTCCTGATTCAAAGTTATCCAGGGTATGGAAAGCAAAATATGTGTTTAAATGAGAAGGTTTAAAACATTTTGACTACAATATAAGAAAGTAACACTGGGTGTCTTCAAAGCTGTATATCCACTAAGCGACGTAAAATCTATTAGCTGCAAAACTCTCTGAAAGATACAAATTAAAAACAAATATTTTCATTTCCGGAGCTATTGTCATGTGTGACAAACATACAAGATGGCTTTATCATAAGAAGAAAAATTGCTTTAAGGGTCGTTTACCGATAGGGGGATGAAAATCCTATTAGCTGTAATATATTAAAAATGGGTATAATAATGGCTGGAGACGGCTTGAATGGGTAATGAAGAAAAACTTTAATACAACAGCAAATGTACAACGTTTCGACAAGGTTTTGTCGAAACGTTGTAC